CACACGATATGAGGAAGGAACCAGAAAGCTTGCTCTCTCATAGGCTCTCGACGGGTGTCTCGTGGCTAGAATGCTGCCTTCCTGTCCCAACCACGTCCTCCTTCCCCGGGGGCCGGCCAGCTCCTGGAGCTGCAGGAGGGTCCCCTGAACGCACTCTCTCTCCCACTAGCACCCTTAGTGTCCCAGGAAACCCCGCGCAGTCAGTGAGGTCCCAGTCCAGCTACAACCCCTTCGAGGACGAGGACGACACGGGCAGTACCGTCAGTGAGAAGGAAGACATTAAGGCCAAAAAGTTGGTGAACGAACGCTCCCCCCTCCCTCTCTCTCTCTCTCTGTCCAGGGCTCTCAACTGTGCATGAAGCTGCCATGGGGACAGGCTCAGGCTTCTTGGGGGGCCCTTGCACTCTTCAGCTGCTTTCTCTCTGCCCTCCACTTACCCCCCACCAGGGCCCTCACCCCACCACCACAGGAAGACGCCGGCCGGGTGGGTCCACTGGGTACCCTGTGTTGGATGGACCTGGCCGTGACGTCAGAGGGGTCCTCAGCCCTCCCCCAGGGCTGCTGCGTCGTCCCCAGGGGGCACGCAGCCTGAGACTCGTGTGTTGATTGCTTCCCTTGCAGTGTAAGCAGCTATGAGAAGATCCAGACTTACCCCACAGACTGGTCAGATGAGGAGTCTAACAACCCGTTCTCCTCTGTGGATGCCAACGGGGACTCCAACCCCTTTGAGGAGGACCCCGTGTCGGGGACGGAGGTGCGCGTGCGGGCCTTGTACGACTACGAGGGCCAGGAGCTGGACGAGCTGAGCTTCAAGGCAGGTAGGTGCTTCCAGCTGCGGGCCTCCTCCCCACTTCCACACGCCCAGTGCCTGGCTGAGAATGCCCGGACTGCAGGCTACCTAGTGATCTCTCTGAAGACACTCAGCTTCTAGGGACCCCAGATGCCTTGTGGGAGTAGCCAGCTCTCTCTGCAGGGTCCCTGAGGGGCTCGTTTCTCCACAGCCCCCAGCTGGCAGAAAAACCATAGACATAGGCGCGGCCAAGCTGAGACCCCAGCGTAGCACCCCATGGACCCCCACCAGGCAGGCTTTGTCTCAGAGAATGCCTTTCGAAGGCTTCTCCTGCAGGTGCTGCAAACAGGTGAATGAATGTGCTCAGCTGTGGGAATCCACCCAAAGGAACCTCACAGAAAGGCCTAACCTGCTTCCGGAGCACCGCTTTATTCAGCACACATGGGGTGTCCGAGAGCTGGAACTGAGACTGGGGGGCCCATTCCAAAGAAAGGTGGCCCAACAGAATGTGGACATTATCAGTCAATGTCATTCCTATGACATACAAGTCAAATTTTGCTGAAGATCATTCAGAAGCAGTTACAATAGTTCATTGACAAGGACCTGCCAGAAATTCCAGCTGGCTTCAGAAGAGGACGTGGAATGAGGGATATCGTTGCTGGTGTTAGCTAGATCCTAGCTGAAAGCAGAGAATCCCAGAAAGATGTTTACCTATGCTTTCGACTGTGTGGATCCTAACAAACTATGAATAACATTATGAAGAATGGGTATTATGCTCATACAGGACCTGTACATAGGACCGAGTAGAGTTGTTTGAACAGAACAAGGGGACACTGTGAATGGTCAAAAATTAGGAAAGGTGTGCACCAGGGTTGTATTCTTTCACTATACTTAATCTGTATGCTGAGCAAATACTCCAAGAAGCTGGATTATAAAGAACGTGGCAGCAGGATTGGTGGAAGACTCATTAGCAACCTGCGGTATGCAGATGATACAGCCTTGCTTGGTAAAAGTGAAGAGGATTTAAAATACTTACTGATGAAGATCAAGACCACAGCCTTTGGTATAGGTTGCACCTCAATGTAAAGCAAACAAAATCCTCACCACTGGACCAAAAAAGTAACATGATAAAAAGAGTAAAAAAATCAAAGTTGTCAAGGATTTCATTTTGCTTGGATCCCCATTCAGCGATCATGGAAGCAGCAACATAGTGCATTGGACAAAACTGCTGCAAAAGACCTCTTTATAGTACTATCGAAGAGAGATGTCGCCCTGAGAGCTAAGGTGTGCCTGACCCAAGCCGTGGTGTTTTCAGTTGCCTCATGTTGCTGTAATAGCTGGACCTCTTTATAGTACTATCGAAGAGAGATGTCGCCCTGAGAGCTAAGGTGTGCCTGACCCAAGCCGTGGTGTTTTCAGTTGCCTCATGTTGCTGTAATAGCTGGACAATGAATAAGGAAGACCGTAGAAGTGATGCTTTTGAATTATGGTGTTGGAGGAGAATACTGAAAGTACCATGGACTGCCAGAATAATAAACAACCTGTTTTGGAAGAAGTACAGCCAGAATGCTCCTTAGAAGCCCGGCTGGTGACTTCATCTCTCAGACTTTGGGCACGTTATCAGGATGGACCGGTTCCTGGGGAAGGACATCACATGTAATCAAGTCGAGAGTCAGAGGAAAAGAGGAAGACCTCCAGCGAGATAGCTGGCCCCCGTGGCTGCAACAGTAGGCTGAAACTGGAAGGAATGTGGGGAGGGTGCCGGACTGGGTGGCTCTGGTCTATTGGTTCCCGCAGCCATGTCTCCTGAGGGTCCTCCCATCTCTCTACATGGGGCCTGCCTCCACCTCTTGTGAACAAACAAAAGATGGCTCCCACCTCTTGAAAGAACAGCCATGGGAGGCTCCAGAGTCAAGGTGTTGGGATGAGGCCCGGGTGCTCTCGCCCTGATGTCCGTGCTGGAGATGGAAAGACAGACACAACAGACAGACAGACAGACATGGTCCCTGTCAAGTCCAGTGGTGGGGGCAGGGAGATAGAGAAGGGCAAGCGCTGGATGGGAGCCCACCAGAGGGTCCCCTGCCTGGATCTGGATGTGACAAGAGGGTACATGCCCTGAGAGAGGGTCACCTGCCCGGGTCTGGGCAGGTGGGAGGGTACAGGGCCCTGGGACTTAGTCCTGTCCTGTGGGAACCATGGGAGCCTGTTGCTCAGGATATGGTGTGAGCTGTGTTGACCTCTAGCACCCTTAACGTCCCCACTGCTGACGAAGCCGCTAAAGGTACAACTTAATGGAGAAATCAGCAGGCTCTAGATCCCCGGCCCTCAGGAGAATACCTGCCCCTCCTTTGAGGTTCAGGATCCAGGTCTGGGCTTAGGTGCGTGGACATTCATGAGCCCTTATCCCCTCTCTGTCTCACAGGTGATGAGTTGACCAAGATAGAGGACGAGGATGAGCAGGGCTGGTGCAAGGGACGCTTGGACAGCGGGCAGGTTGGCCTGTACCCAGCGAACTACGTCGAGGCGATCCAGTGACCGGGACCAGTGGGCAGGCTGGCAGGGGACTGGAGACGACTGTCCCCTGAGCTCCATTAGCCATCTGCCCTGGGCAGTGGCTCCTCTGGCGCCCCCATCTGGCTGTGTGGGGCATTCATTCCTTTTCCTGCAAAAGATGATGGTTCCATTGCTCTTGGCTGCATGGTGTCCCCGGAAGTCAGGCCGGCTGGTCCCATCCCACTTTGCACTCAGAGAGGCCTGAGCACAGGACGACATGCGGCAGACATGGCCGGGCCCTCCGCTCCCCCGCTGGCTGTGCTCATTGGCCTGTCATGGATTTGTGTGTTGTCTGCCTTCTCGTCCCTCCTCCCCCCAGCCAATTTGGGCATCACTGATTTTCAGCCCCCTGATCACTCTCGCTGACAAGTCCCATCACCTCCCACCCAAACCAACAAACTCGCGTGCCATTTTCTGCTTGGAGATTTTAAGATTTTTAATTTAAAGACTGTGTACCAGTCTAGTTTTATATAGATACATATACATATATATATATATATATACCCATTCTTCCGGTCATTTATTCTTAAATTATGGCATAGATTGGCATCCACTGGTTTTATCAATGTGATCCCTTTCCATGTCATACTGCTAAGCACCTGTGCACTGTGTGGGCTCAGCTGTGGGAAACGTAGCCTGTTCAGACAGACACTGTTTGAGGCAAAAACTGGAGGAAGGAGCCAGCTGTCCGCTTGTGCACACTAGTCAAGCACAGGGGTCCCGGGAATCGCCTACTTAGGACTCACAGTCACCATCTTATTGGAAAACCATTCTCTCTCTTCTTACCTGAACTTGTCTCTTTTGCAAATTAACAGCTGTCTCAGTGATTTGGAAGACTAACTTGTATAAAGTAGTTTAAGATTCCATTCCACTAGACAGTCACGTCTGGCTGTATATCTGTATATATGATTTGATACTCAGAGGATCTAGAGAGTCTGTGTACTGTGTTGAGAGCAAACGGCTGTTGACAGAAAGTTTCGTTTGTAAACTGCTCGAAGCCTGTGACCTTGGGGCACGAGTGTGGCTCTGAGGTGGAGGAATCAGCCCATGGTTAAGTAGCCTTAGCCCTTCCCGTAGCAGAACACTGTAAAAATGCCCATGATTCCAGCAGCTACATCATTTTCATTGTGAGCAAACAAAGGCCGGCTCTCGTCCCCAGTGCCCCCGGGGACAGAGGTGCGCTGCAGAAGCAAGGTGGGCAGGCGGGAGGGGATCCCATTTCCTGTACATGGGATCCGGTGGACTGGCCACCACCATTCAAGCTATGCATTGATACCGCTTCCCGTGAGTGCGTGTGTGTATGTGTTTGTCATGAACACTTACCAGCAGAAATCCTCATTCCTATGCTACCAAAAATTGTCTTTCAGTTTAGGCATTTCTTCAAAGGTTATGGTATTTTAGAAAATCAATAAACACATGATCTTGAGCACGTGGCCCTCTCCCTGTCTTGACTCCTCGGCTCTGCTGTCATTGGTGGGAACCAGTACTGGGGCTGGGCCAGGTTGGGGATTTGAGGCACCTGTGCCCCTTGAGGTGCCCTGTGGGGAGGGGTCAGCCTCCCGTTATACAGAGCGGGGAGTGGGGATCAGGGAGCAGGCGCCAAGAGCCCGCTTGATAACAGTACCCACAGCTGACGGGTGATGCTGAGAAAATGCCTGGGACCCTCCTCAAGGGAGCAGAGCTGAGACCACGCATATCACGCAGTGTGGCCCAGCTGAGGCGACCCTGAACACTGCCCGCTCTGAGCGCACGCCTCCTGGGAGCCAGGCAGGCAGTGCCTGCAGCAGCATCACGTCTGACGTGTGACAATGACTCGGCTCACCCACCTGCTGAGGGGATGAAACAGGCTCTCCAGCTAGTCACCCACACATCACAGTGGGGCCCTGGGCGCACAGCCCGGTGAGTTCCCCCACTCACCCCCAGTTTTCCTAACAGGAAGTCACTGGAAACTTGGAGAGGTTCAGGTCCCATGAGCTGAGCTTCATTCAAACCCAGGTCTGCAGGATGCCCATGGGCAAGCCTCCCTCTGCTGGCTGGGAGGTAGGGGCGGGGGCTAGAGCAGGTGGGAGAACAAGGTGCTCACACCTCTAGGGGTCCAGCAGACAGCCTGGGCTCACCGCCCTGCCTATGTGAGGCCCTTTCTCACAGCCCCTTAACTCATCCCAGTCGCCCCACACTGACCCCGAAGCCCCTTTGTAGGGAATCTCACAGGGTTTGCTGCCTATGTACCTTTACTCCATCGGGAATGAGTTTAGGAGCCTCAACCCACCTCTGTAAGTCACCTGGACCTCTTCACAGGCAGGAGTGACACCTGGCTTCTGGGTTGGAGCCAGGCCACAGACACACGTGATCTCTCTCCATCCGTACAGCCCCTAGCAGGGACCCTGCAGGCATCCTTAGCTCTCCTGTATCCTTCACACTGGGCCACCAAGTCCTCTCTGCCCCTCTTTCCTCTCCTCTCCACAGCCACACTGCCAAAGCGCCCCTCCTCTGTCCCAAAGCCACTGCTGCCAACAACCATTCACATTACCCTCAGGGTCACCTGGACCCTGAGCTGACTGCTGATCCTTGGGGACACATCTGTGAGCTGGCAGGCTGTGACTCCCCAGAGGGCCCTGCAGATGGAGGGCAGGGCTAACCTCTGCATCTGAACACCCGAAGTCTGGCCTGACCTTTGTCCCTGGAGGGGGCCCTCACAGTGTATTAGGACAGTGAATATGTCAGGAGGCTTGAGGAGGGTTCCTGAGACCCCCCTGACCCGCTGGTAGAAAATCAGCTGGCTCTCTCTAACCTGCCCCTGGCCTGCAGTGGGCTGACCCTGGCACGACTCTCAGGTGATTGGTTATCAAGCACCTGCTGCTGTGTGTAAGACTGGTACCTGTGTGAAGTTGTCCACTTCAGGTGAGTAAGGAATCCCTTGCTTATTAGGGTAATCTGCCCTGGTCCCAGTGAGGCAAACAGAGCCCCAAGATGTGGTTGGAGGTGGCTCTGTCCCCTAGTGGACAGACCCATGGCACAGAAGAACCCATGTGACACGCAGCTGACCTGTGAGGACTCACTCCGGCCCAGGCTGGGGATCGGAGGAGCCAGGCTGACCCACGTTGGGTCTCAGTGGCCTTGTGAGTCGGTCTCAGGATTCATGTTTCTCAGCTCCACAGTGGATCCTGTGCTGGACACCTGCCCTGCAGCTGTCCTCTCAACCTCATCACAATGCATGAACGTCTTACAGACAAGGAGACTGAAGTCCAGAGAGGTGGGGTGACTGGCCTTGTCCACACAGCAAATCAAGGGCAGAGTGGGGGGTGACAGGAAGCCCCAGGGGTAGAGGGGACTGTTCTGATTAAAGGAATCCCTGAGGGAGGAAAGCAGTTCATGGACTCGACTGCTAGCTACAAGTTCACGTCCACCCGGAGGTACCTCAGAAGAAAGATCTGGCAATCTCCTGAAAATTCAGCCACTGAAGACTGTGACGTACTGTTCTACCCTGATAGACGTGGGGCCTCCATGAGTTAGAGCCAACTACAGCAACTGGTTTAGGGAGGCACCCTTCACTAGCATCCCCACAAGGACCTGCTCTGTGACCTTAGATTAGGTACCAAATGACCGACCGTACACTAAATGGCTTATACACTTGTTCATCATTGCCCTATTCACAATAGCAAAAAAGTGGAGACAGCCTAAGGGCCCATCAGTGGAAATATGGATAGCCAAACTTTGGTACGTACACACAATGGAATACTATGCAATGCTGAATAATGATGAATCTGCGAAACACCTCACAACGTGGATGAACCTGGAAAACTTTATGCTGAGTGAAATTAGTCAATCACAAAAGGACAAATTTGTACGAGACCACTATTGTAAAAAGTCAAGAAAAGCTTTTCACACTAAAATAAATAGTATTTAATCGTTACCAGGGGTGGGACGAAAGGGGGGTGTAACTCACTGAGTAGAGGATCGATGTATGTTAACTTGGGTAAAGAGAAAGGCAGTATACACCAAGAGGGAGGTTGGCAGAAGAATCATGAAGGCAAGATGGGGAGGAGAGCAAGGGTTAAAGGGAACAGAGGCAAATACTGTTACATGAACAACTCTGTAATAACAGTGATCTATAGGGTTTTGCTGGATGCCATGCTGGGTAAGGTGGAGGGTCAGAGAAAAAGAGGAAGACCCCTAACGAGATGGATTGGCCAGGTGGCATCATTGATGGACTCGAGTGTGACAGCGGTAGTGAGGTTGGCCCAGGATCGGACATTGTTTTGTTCTGCTGTGCATGGGGTCGCTATGAGTCAGTTCCAGCTCGATGGCACCTGACAACAACAATAGGGTCTTGCATTAAGGAGCTCTGGTAGCGTAGTGGTTATGAATAGGGCTGTGAACCACAAGGTCAGTTCGAAACTACCAGCTGTTCCGTGGGAGAAAGATGAGGCTTTCTGCTCCCGTAAAGTTGTATAGCCTTGGAAACCCTGTACAGGGTCACTACGAGTTGGAACCAACTCCACGGCACATAACCACCACCATAGGTTCCTGCATTAGGTAAATCTGCTACACAAGACCTTTTCAAAGTGTTGGAAGAGCAAACATATCAGACCGAGGACTAAGGTGTGCCTGACCCAGCAAGCCATGGTATTTTCAATAACCTCATATGCACAAGAAAGTTGGACATGAATAAGGAAGATTATAGAAGAATTGATGCATTTGTGTTATGGTGTTGGAGAAGAATATTGAAAGTCCCATGGGCTGCCAAAAGAACCAATAGATCTGTTTTGGAGGAAGTGCAGCCAGAGTGCTCCTTGGAGGCCAGGATGACTAGGCTTCGCCTCTCGTACTTTGGACATATTGTCAGGAGGGACCAGTCTCTGGAGAAGGATGTCATATTTGGTAAGATGGAGGGAGGGTCAGAGAAAAAGAGGAAGACCCCCCAGCGAGATGGATTGGCATGGTGGCAGCATCAATAGGCTGAAGCATGGCAACAATAGTAA